GAGAGAACAGACATAGATGAAGGTAGAAGGATTAGGATAAAATATGGAATATCTTGCAAACTCAGCTAAGAAATGTGGATAAATTTGTATAAAGAGTACCAGCCCCAGGAAGTTTTAAAGCAAGAGCTTGATGTGTGATAACAGTTTACAATAGCAATATAACTATGGCAACAGTGGGAAGGGACAGATTGGAGGGGGCAGTGCTTGGAGATAGACCAGTTGGGAGGCTTTAGAAAAATTGTTTTTTTGAACAAGGATGGTGGGAATAAAAAATAAAAGATAGATGTTGAGAGATTTTATAGCATAAAGCAAAATCAATCTGATTATCACTAAGATGCGATTAAAAACATTAATTTATAATAGTCTATACTGCTGTTGCTGACATTTAAAAAAAGTCAAGGGCATAACAAGTTTAATAAAATTGAATCAAGCCTTATGTAATTAATCAGAATTATAATTTATTTTCTCTTAGGAGAATGCTTACGTATTGCAGATAAAATGTGAACTCTGTATTTGAGTTGTAGTATCTTTGGAATATTGTTGTCAATAATATTTTAAAGCATGTGAAAATGGAATTTATTCTTATTTACTACAAGGTTTAATCAAGATTTGAATTGCTTTATCCAAAATAATACCAGAAGGTTGAAAGGATGGCTGATTAATACCAATAATTTAAAAAAGTATTATCATTAGTCTTAAAAGATTCTAGATATGTATAAAATTTTAGCTTTTCCTTATATCTTCTTGTAATTTATGATTTTAATGTATAGTTAAATCTTGACTGCCCTCTAGTGGCTTATATTTTTTTAGCTGTCTTGTTTGGAGAGCAGAGTGTATGGTTACTTTAGGCCTTTTTAGGCCCTAGTTAGGTCATTGGTGGTGTGTCATGCCTGAGAGGTACTGGGACTTTTCTCAGTCCTTGGCCTTAATCTTGAGGTGTTTGTTAATAATATAATTCCTGAATTGTTTCTACTTTGAATACCAACAGACTTCATAATGTATGACAGGATTATGTCTCCCAACTATTCATTTTTAAATGTCCATTATTATTATATTCATTATAACAGTATAAAAATCACTTGTATAACACACTTACATGAGTTGTGATTGCCTACCAAACATATAAATCTATCATGTTTAAAATGGAGCAAAGCATGAGGGTGTTTGGGGGAGAGTTCTGTGCCTTTGACAGGATGCTTCCCTGTCCGGGTATTTATCTGGGCTCCTATATCCGGAGATTGCCTGGATCTTTTTAAAAAAGACTCCTACAAACCCAGATTTCACTTTGTGTTAGTATTTTAGCAAGAGGTATAATGTCGAACTGTTGCTTCTTTAAAAAGTGGTTGCAGGCTACCCTCAACTAACTTAATATGTACTATGGGACCGGGCACGGTGGCTCACGCCTGTAATCCCAGCACTTTGGGAGACTGAGGCTGGTGGATCAACTGAGGTCAGGAGTTCGAGACCAGCCTGACCAACATGGTGAAACCCCATCTCTGCTGAAAATACAAAAAAAGTAGCCGGGCATGGATGTAACCACAGCTACTCAGGAAACTGAGGCAGGGGAATTTCTTGAACCCAGGAGGCAGAAGTTGCAATAAGCTGAGATGGTGCCATTGCACTCCAACCTGGGCAACAAGAGCAAAATTCTGTTTCCAAAAAAAAAAAAAAAAACAAAAAACAAGAAAACAAAAACAAATAGGAAAATCCACAGAGATTAAAAAAGAAAAAGAAGAGTACTTTTTTTGTGTGTGAAGTCCCTTGTATGATAGTGTCTGTGAACCACATGTTTGTTTCAAGTTTAGGTTGAGTATCATCAAGGGGCATAAGAATAGTACAGCAATGGGGCCAGGAAGAAGAATATTAGGACTCAGAAATTCTGCATTGTTCTTACTGCAGTATATTCTCCATATAGTACCCCCTATTTTCATTCCCTATAGTAATCAAGGGGATTAGTAGTATGTTTTAATTCCATGAGAATTTTGTAGGGGGCTTTGGGGGAAATTATCTATTATATTTTTATACCAAATTTGCCTTCTTAAATATTTGATTTGAGCTAATATTAAAATTAGTTTGCGTGACTTGAGCACACTATACATATTTGTAAAGTCTTGATATAGAAACCAAGCAGAGAAAAGAGAACCTGGGAGTTTTCAGTAGTTTAGTTTTCCAAAAAAACTAAATTCTATATTTAGAAAATTAGGAATTAAATCTGTTAATGCATACTAGAATGTAATATAGTATTTTATTCATAAATCTCAGCATAATTAAAAATAAGGATAACTACCTGATAATTTTTTCTTCCCTGAAAAATAATCTCCAAATGTTTGCGTAATTTATAACTCATATTTAATATCTCTTAGATTCATTTAGGGAAGGGTACAGGCATGTTTTAAGGAAACAATTTAGCAGTAATCTGTTTTTGAGAAAATATTAACTGAATAAAAATTTGACTTTCCTGTTTATTTAGTATTGCAGCACTGAGAAGTAGTTTCTTTTTATCTTTTTCCTTTTTTTTTTTTTTGGACACAGAGTCTTGCTCTGTTCCCCAGGCTAGAGTGTAGTTGCGTGATATTGGCTCCCTGCAACCTCTGCCTCCCGGGCTCAAGTGATTCTCCTGCTTAGCCTCCCAAGTAGCTGGCATTACAGGCACGCGCCACCACGCCCTGCTAATTTTTGTATTTTTTGTAGAGATGTGGTTTCACCATGTTGGCCAGGCTGGTCTCGAACTCCTGACCTCAAGTGATTTGCCTGCCTCAGCCTCCCACAGTGTTGGGATAACAGGTGTGAGCCACCTCGCCCAGTGGCTTTTTTTAGTTTTTTTAATAGCACAAACTACCTTTAAATATCATAAAATTGATAGAATTTTTTTCTCTTAAGACAAAGTTTACGATCCTGTTTTTCAAAACATATTTAGTTACCAAGTAATAGGCATGAGAACTTACCCTTAACCACAGAGATGTTTCTCTCTTATTCAGAGACTTAAGCTAGTTTCTGAAGGGTTAACCAGCAGGTTCAGTTAGTTCTACATTCAACAATCACTACCACTGTTATCAAAAAGCCGTTATTGATCATTTCATTAAGCCCATGTGATAGGGAGCCATCTCCTACTGCAGCTGTGTTGTCTTCACTAAAAATCTAATTTTAAATTGTTACATATGACCTAGCTGTATGTGTATTGGCAACCTTTAGTGTTTATATAGATTAATTTTTTTTTTTTTTTTTTTTTTGAGATGGAGTCATGCACTGTTGCCCAGGCTGTGGCGCGATCTCGGCTCACTGCAAGCTCCACCTCCCGGGTTCACGCCATTCTCCTGCCTCAGCCTCCGGAGTAGCTGGGACTACAGGCACCTGCACCATGCCCGGCTAATTTTTTGTATTTTTAGTAGAGAAGAGGTTACACCGTGTTAGCCAGGATGGTCTCGATCTCCTGACCTCGTGATCCGCCCACCTCAGCTTCCCAAAGTGCTGGGATTACAGGCGTGAGCCACCGTGCCCGGCCTATATAGATTATTTTTATAGTTCTAATTTGATCATGCCAAGTCAATGATTGAACTGTTATTAAATTTTTATTATGCATAAGGTCTTTCCGAAATCTTAAGGAGAGACAAATAGGAACTTGTTTCTGTCTTTCTTTCTTTGTTTTTTTTTTTTTTTTTTTGAGACAGGATCTCACTCTGTCACTCAGGCTGGAGTGCAATAGCATGGCCATAGCTCACTGCAGCGTCGACCTTCCAGGCTCAGGTGATCCTTCCATATCAGCCTTTTCAGGAGCTTGGACTTACAGGCATGCACTACCATGTCTGGCCAAATTTTTAAACTCTTTATAGAGACAGGGTCCTACTATGTTGCCCAGGCAGGTCTCAAAATCCTGGGCTCAAGCGATCCTCCCACCTTGGCCTTCCAAAGTGTGGGACTACAGCTGTGAGCCACCATACTTGGCTGAGAACTAGCATTTTACCAGTACCTAGTAACTGTGTCCCAGCTATTGGAGGCAAAGTAGGAAGAAGAGGGGCTGTAACATGAAGCAGCTCCCGAATTCCACCATTTTTAGTTGGGTGATGTTGGTCAAGTTTGAACTTTCCTCCTCTGCATGTAACTCAGATCTTAGCTGAGGTGACCACCTTCTTTGAGATATCAATTCAATGAACACTCATTCCGCTCTCCTGTGATTTCAGAGGGACCTACCTTCTCATTGTCATTCTGGCTCTGGGCTCCTCAGTCTGAGGCTTCCCCCTCTGTCTCTCTCAGTCTCACCTGCATCTCCTTTCCTACAGATACTTTGCCCCCTTTTGCATCACACTGGTCCTAATGTTGGATGCTGACCTTTTTATTTTTTCCCCTAGATCTTTTAAATACGGCATTTGTGTGTATAGCAGATCACAGTGAAGATGTACGCGAGAATGGAAAAATTTTGCATCACATTTGAGTTCCTTAGCCATCACCATCCTGTAGGGAAATTTTTACTGTTGATACTATTGTTACTTTTCTCCACTGTTTACAGCTTTCCCTTATTTCTGTTTCTTTTCTCTTCCTTGCTTCATCTTCCCTCTTCTCTCTCACCCATAAATGTCTATTCATTTCTTATGCAGAGCAGTTCAGATCTTTTTTCTTATTGTCTTCTTGCCATCTCTTCCTCCACAACCAAAGCACCAAGGCACTTTTGGGTTTTGTTCTACAGAAAGGTTGTTCCCTCCTGAAAATGAGGCTGACGGAGGGAACGCCACCAACCCTGGCAGCATTACTGAGGCTCATTCCCCAGTCTCTCAGCACAAGCCCTGGCGCTTTCCACTTCACCCAGCTGGTCTGACAGTGGCTGGTCCTAGATAAGAAAGCACTTGGTAAAATGGGAAAGAAGATAAGAAGGTATCATTATCATCATCCCAGAAGGTTGAGTTACTAAAGTCATGGTGTATCTTTCCTTCTGTTATTTATGTTATCTTTCCTTCTCTTTCACTTCCCCATGCAATGACTACCAGAAATCTCTGTCCATTTCCCAGCAGCCAGAGCCGAAGTGTGCAGCGGCACTGGGGAAAGGTTCCGAATCTTCCGTGCTGAGAAGACTTACGCAGTGAAGGCGGGACGGTGGTATTTTGAATTTGAGACGGTCACTGCTGGAGACATGAGAGTTGGTTGGAGTCGGCCTGGTTGTCAACCGGATCAGGAGCTCGGCTCGGATGAACGTGCCTTTGCCTTTGATGGCTTCAAGGTGAGTGGACTTTGCCCTGTACCAGTCATCTGTGCATGCTGGAGGCTAGTCTCCTCTGCTGTTCCTCTTGGTAGCATCACAATACCAGTATTTTCCACAGCACAAACATGGAAAAAATATTTCATAGAAAAGCTTTTGTCCTCGTAGTCTCAAAACCTGTCCCCACAACACATGAATATGGTGAAATTCACCAAGTAAGACATTGCTTTTCCATGGTTGTCAAAAGATAAATCATCTTTGTCTATCAAAATGTTAAAGATACATATATAGAGGAAAAATGCATATACATTGATACAGCGATTCCATGTCAGGAGTTTAAGCTATAATTAATGGTATGTTTGTAGAAACATTTAATAGCTACAATGCTTAAAGCAGTGTTGTTTATAATCACAAATGGTTTTCATTTTCAACATTATTAGTAATTTCTATTAAGTTGGATGGAAGCTGGTCAGGTGTTTATTTTGTTATTTATATATTTATAAATGTTTAAAGATTGTTTTACATATGTAAAATATTTTGATTAGTAATATGGGCCAGGTGCCTGTAATCCCAGCACTTTGGGAGGCTGAGGCAGAGGGATTGCTTGAGGCTAGGAGTGCAAGACCAGTTTGGGCAACAAAGTAAGATCCTATCTCTACAAAAAAAATTTTAAATTAGCCAAGCATGGTTTTTTTTTTTTGTTTTTTTTTTTTGAGACAGAGTTTCACCCAATACTTAGGAGGCTGAGGTGAGAGGATTGCTTGAGCTCGGGAGGTCGAGGCTGCAGTGAGCCATGATCATACCACTGCACTCCAGCCTGGGCAAGAGAGTGAGACCTTGTCTCAAAACAAACAAAAAATAACAATAACAGTGTGTATATGATTATAGCCACAATAAGATAATAATAGTCACTTTTGATTGGTAAAATCATAGATTTTTTAAAGTCTTGTTTTTATTTTTTATTTTTTAAGTGAATTTATATTCCTTTTCACATGAGGGGGGAAAAGCTACTTTTTAACTAAGAAAAATAAAATTGGAATAAATAAACAATCATGAAGAGATTTGACATTTGGATACTTCTTGGTGTGAAATGTCCTATGAGGAAAGCCTTTCTAGGCTTGAAATTAGGGCAGTTGACCCACTTAGTTCTGAAACATCACATTTCCTGAATCCAGTTTTTTTTTAAATTTCAAATAGAAAATTTTAACACTTTTTTTGGGGGGGTCAAAATTAGCAAACTTTAAACTTAAAAAAATAAAATAACAGATAAAAGGTAGCTTTAGGTTTACATCTCCTGAAGATCAGATGTAATGAACCAGAGTGGGAAGTATCCTGAGGAAAGTTAAAATAACCTTTACTCCCAATCGAATTATAGGCAAGAAAGGATACTCCCGATTTGGGAACAGGCATGGGGTGGGTGGGGTTGGAAGGCGAACACTACAGCCAGGTAAGTGGGTTGGGCATTTTATGCCTTTTGATACCTGATGTAAACTTTTTAAAAAAGACAGTGTGTTATATTGAGAAGAATTATGTCGTCGTTCTGCATTGGCGACTTTGTCCGGTAACATACCAATTCACAATGAAGGTGAGGCTTAAGAAAAAGTCAAAAGATTTATCTGACAAAATAATTCACATAACTCAGGTGTACCTATAAATCAATGGAATATGCTTGTAGATCCAAAAGTCACATTTATCAAAACTGTGTTTCAAATGTACTTACAATATGAGATTTCACTTTATGTATATAGAAGAAAAGGTTGGCATCTGTATTCAATTTTTGGCTTGTTACTTCAGCAGATATCCTAAGGATATTTTTAGGTTTGATTTGAAGCATTTTTACTTTTAGTATGTCACTGAAATGCTTCTAGATTTCCATTTTGTTGAAATATCTGTGCCATCAGTTCTAAGGAATGAAATTTTATTTTGAAATAGATGAAAATTACACTATCATTTTCAATGACAGATGCCCAGCTTGATTCCCTAGCTCATAATTATTTGTATTTGTGGGAGGAGAGAAAAACAAACCATATTCTGGGAAACATTCATTGTCGCAGAAAAAGAATATATTCTAAAGGCATATAAGTTTTCTTTCAGCAGAAAGTACGTGAGATTAGATTTTTAAAATAATGGGCTCTCAAAATCATGAAATAGCTTTTGGATTTTTTTTTTCAAGATTCAATAATATACCATGTTAATATTAGGTAGGAATTTAGAATTCCCAGACAGTTCCATTTTGCTTAGGACATTGCAGTAGACAGATATGCCAGCTGCACTTTCTCCTGCTGTTGTGTTAATAGAAGGCGCTGCTGTTAAGTAGTGACAGAGTGGTGGGTGGGTGCTATTTTCCTGTCTTAGTCTGTGACAAGGGACTTTTCTGTCCTCTGTGTAGGCCCAGCGGTGGCATCAGGGCAACGAACACTATGGGCGCTCTTGGCAAGCAGGCGATGTCGTGGGCTGTATGGTTGACATGAACGAACACACCATGATGTTCACACTGAATGGTGAAATCCTTCTTGATGATTCAGGTTCAGAACTGGCTTTCAAGGACTTTGATGTTGGTGATGGTAAGTCTACTATGTTTTGTGTTGTTTTTAAGTTTGCCGCACAATGAAGCTTTCATTCTGAGGCTTCCTAACCAGTGGTTTCTGTTTGAAGGTGAGTGAGCAGATGAGTTGCAGCTGTAAATCGTGAGGGTGCCATGTGACTGACTTGATCAGATGCCCTTGAAATTACATTATTAGAAATGCTATCTATATGACTTAGCTAGGATTTCTAGAAGGCTGAAATGGCTTTTATGAGTATGAATAAGAAAATAAATAGCAGACAAAAGAAT